CATTTCAGCAGCAGTTCCTCATGAATAAATAGAAATCAACAGTTGAATTCATTTTCCCTAAATATTCCTCACCAAATTATAGACAAATCTTATACCAGGAAATATGATTATTTGCAATTGTATTGTTGTAAATTTTTTTTGTCTTACTTCATGAATATTAATATAAATAAATAACATTCTATTTTCCATTGAATAATTATGACTTCTGTTATCAGGAGAGTCTAATATGTAGATGAATTGCTCATCTTGAGGCAGGAGACCCTTAAAGTGACAGAGTTGTGACAGTTACGTAGACCCTTAAAGTGACAGTTAGTTGATTTAATGACATTTCAATGTTTGCTGGGTTAATCAATGTCAAACTTAGTTTCTCTTTTTCCTTATTTTTATTTTATACTTTTTCATTTCTATTAATGCCCTCCCCACCAAAAAAAAACAAAAAAAAAAAAAACAAATCTGCAAATCTTATGGGACAAAAAAAAATTACGATGATTAAATAGTCTGAATATCAGAGTTTCTACATTAATTACCATCAAGAATATTTTCATCATTTTATAAAATGTTTTATTATATTTATACTACATAGAATGGAAATCCCAAATTACCTCATTCAAATAGCTATTTCAGTCAATATATATATATATATATATAAATTTTAGGCTCCTATTTCATTTCTTCACACCTCTGTGTTGACAAAGCCAATAAGTAAGTCTTGTTATATATAAAGATATTATAAATATTATAAATTAACTGATTTAAAAATATGGTTCCATTACTACACAGGAATTACTATGTTTCAAAAACGGGAAAGAAAAACTTCAATTTAAATTAATGTCCCTAGTGTTTCAAGTGAATTTTGGAATAACTTATTTTGAAATTTACTGAGTTTTATAAGCACATAAATTCATAATATTACTTTCTAAGAATACGGGGAAATCCAATCATTTTGACAAGGGGTGGTAGGGTATTCATTTTCACTGACAACTATTGTATCAAAATATGAGTTACTTTTGTAAAGAGGTTAAGTTAAGGTAAGGGAGGGGTGCCTTTTCCAACAAATGATGACATCCATTCAACACGTTGTCTGGTCTTTATCATTGACAAAAAGGTTTTTGGCACTTTTGTTTCACCATTAAATTTATATTGTATACATAAAGATTTTTTCTAAAAGGGTTGTTTGTATATAAATATGTTGTATTGAACTGCTGGTCATACCAAAAGGGACCAGGGCTGATGATATATATCTCTTGAAAGCAAACAATAGCAAGACTTAAGTTTGTTATTAACAGAAGCAGTTCATTAATGTTAGGGTTTATTTTGGGTTAGTTCCATTGGATGATTTTATGGGGTTACAATGACGTACAAGGTTTTTTTTTATAGGGTGTTTCTGAGTGGGTTGCTTTTATGAGGTATAAGATTGTCTTCTTTTTTTTACAAGTTTGTTGTTTCCAGAAGATCTTTGGTATTTGTTGTGTTCTTTGTTTTGAGTAGGATCCTTGTCGTGGTTTATTTTGGGGTCCTTGGTTAAGGGGTTCTTGCCTCTTTAAAGATCTCACAGGTAAGCAAGATCCTTCAGTAGAGTGAGATGATAAGGTAGGAGATCTTTGGGATTGATTGCAAGATTTCATTTTTGTAGCTGTTGTATGAGGGGGTGGTCGTGGTGGTTTTTGGTGTCATGTTTTGTTTATTTTCTTGTTTTTCACCATTTTTGTTTTGTTGGAATAGTTTGTGGTTTTGTGTTTTTAATGGCTTTGGCTGTGTGGTGATTAACAGTGAACGTGGTTTTGCTTTTACCTAATAGTGTTATTATTTTTATCATAAATGTTAGTCTTTTATTTTGTTTTCATTTTAATAGCCTCTCACAGTGTACTTTATATTCATCTGTTGGACACAGGTGTCAGTTTTCATTTTGATAACCTTTATTTGGGTATGACATGTTTCTGGTCACAGATTCTAACATCTTTCATAGCTCTAGGAATGGTATTTTTTTTCTTTATTTCAGCACCATCATTTTCTCTTCTTTCCTCCAGATTTTACAAGCTCATGTGTATGCTTGGTGATCTCCATGACAGAACATTCAATTGTCTTACCGCAATTCCTATCAAAATGGTCAAGGTCCTTTCGACTGCATCTCTTATGTGCTGATTTATTCATTTACTTGTTTAGTTTTAGTATTTGATGTGATATTGGTGTGGTTGTGTCTGAAGATAAATATATACCTGCTTATATTTGTATTGCCTTGCTTTTCTTTTTTATGTTTATTCTTTTAAGATCTACAACCCCTTGACTTCCGAGTTTTGTTTTTATCTCATCCAGTCTGCAAAGGCATAGTTAGGGGATGCTTCTCACAACACACTTGCTTGTGTTTAGTGAGAATATATTTTTATTTTTGTGGAATGTATCCAGCCATAACAAAATATTTCCACTTGCTTCTTCCGCACTGCTCCAACTATAAGAAGAAGATTCCCAATTTTACAACCTCTGGGATCAATTAAGAGGATATAACTTTTGTGTTAATGAATATTGAGAGCATTGACACAGGTGTGTCTTCTGCCAGTTCTAGAACCAGAAATTTTGGGAATTCAGGCAAGCCTTTTTCCTTCTCATTATCCAAATCAGTGTCAACATGTAGTTACAAGTTATTTAGTATATGTCATACTTTTCTTCCAAAACCTTCATTGTCCACAATCATTACTCACCTCAGAGCCCAATATTGGCAAATATAAAGGGGGTGGGGGGTAAAATTCATTTGCTTTCACATGACAGGCATTCACAGACAATATAGTCTTCTATTAGGAAAACCTCAAGCACCTGTAAACCATTAGCTATTGAACCCAAGTTTTAGTGTAACTTTTTTTACAGATATCTCAAAAATATTGTTTCTTTCAAACGGATTGACCCTCAGCAATTGCCTTCTGACATTTATGGGAATAGGTCTAGTGCTGATTCTAATGTTATTTGTACTCAGAACAGTCCAAGGGCTTGGCATAACAGTCAATTGATCAGATCAAACCCTGTTGAGCCCATTTAAGGACCTTAGTGGTATGTTGTAGTTCACATGCCCACTCAGTAAGTAAAATCACATTCTCAGGCATCCTGGGTCACCACCTATGGCCACTAGTCAGATTTTGGGAAGTTGGTTAGGCCAAGAACTTTTCCGCAACCCATGATGTGGTGATATTCTCATCTATTTCATTTATTCTTGAACTGTTTTGTTTATAAAATCTCATTTTTGCTTAATCCAATTTCCTTTCTTATTATTCTGATGGAAGTTCTGCTATTGTTTAAGGAAAAAAAAAAAGTTTGCAATTGGCAAAAAGGAAGTTTGAATGTGTGTGAGATTGAAAATGTAACATAAATGACAAATGAAAATGTAACATAAATGACAAATGAAAATGTAACATAAATGACAAATGTGCAACCATTTCATAGAAATCTAAAAAAGAATACAAATAAAATCTATCAACTTTTGTCTATAATAAAAAAGAATTTGAACATTTTCATAAGTAACTGTATATAGTAAAACCAATTCTTATCTTGCTTAATAATTTTGATTGGTTTATTTTGTTTTATGGCATATCAACCTCAATGGGTTATTTAATGCCGACAACATTTTTTATTGCTCGTAATATTTTGTTTTGTCTTTCTGGTAATATTTTTCTTTCAAAATTGTATTGCTGGTAATAGTTAACTATTTGCCCATAGCTGGGGCCCTAACAGGTGCTACCACCCTGGGTCAGGGTGGACCTGGGAATACCAGAAATTAAGAGGTGGTTCCACACTCCTCAAAACCTCCTGATCAGAGGCCTTGCTGTTGGACATAGTTTATCGTCATACCCAGGACACGGATGTAGTTTAACGTCTTACCCAGGACGATAATAATTTTGAAGATAATATCTTCTTAAATAATAAAACCTGGAGTCCTTACCATTGAATAGTGGTTAGCAATCTTGTTTTGCAGATCAAAATGTCTCACTAGATGTCTATTTGTCTTATAGTAAAGTACATACAAAACTTGGAATATCTACTGTAGAGCATTGATTAAGACCACTTTGCAGACTATTTATGCAGTGTATACTATTCTTCACTGGGTTTCTCTTTATAGTGGCCTTGTGCCAGACTAAGCTAAATTTATGAAATAACTAAGAGAACTAACAGAATCTCATCATGATTAGCAGGTTCATCTGATAGTTGTACACATGACCTTGTACCTGATTAAGCTATCTTGTATGATGGGTTAGGCACATTTGAATATTTCCTACAAATGCCAACTAAAAACCAGAATTTTGAGTTATGATCTTCAAGGCAGGTAAGACTTCCTACCTGAGAAAAAAAAAAAGGTGAAACACTGGCCATGACAAGTGAATGGATCATGAATATTAAAATTGATTTATGTTGTTTATTTAAAAAGGTCAGCTTCATATGGACAAGATGAAATTGTATGCGGAGGATTGAGTTGAATAAATAGCAAGAAATGAGTTGGATTCATCAAGTGTTCTTAACTTGTGACATCCAATTATTTTTGAGGGACAAGGAGAAAAAAAGAAAAAGTGAAAAAGAAACAGAACAAATATGAAAAAGAGAGAAAAAACAGCATAAAAGCAGAGTAAAAATGGAAAAGAAAAAAGAAAGATGAAAAAGCAGAGTAAAAATGGAAAAGGAAAAGAGAAAAAGCAAAAAAAGAAAGATGAAAAAGCAGAGTAAAAATGGAGACAAAAAGAGAAAAAAGAAAGACAAAAAAGCAGAATAAAAATGGAAAGGAAAAGAGAAAAAAAAAAAAGAAAGATGACAAAGCAGAGAATACTAAAGAAAAGATAAGTTTTTGCAGGTTATAAAAACTGAAAAGGAAGTAAAAGTAATAATGTTTACCTTTGAAATACGAACGAGCATATTTGGTCCAAGTATCTGTTTTGTTATTGATGATGATGATGATAATAATTGTTTAAAGAATTTGGTGGATGAAAAATGATGAAAAACTGACATTGTATCCTAAAAGCACTCACCTGTTGACAAAGTCCAAGCAAAGCATTGGCTGATGGTTTATATTTGACATTCCATATTGATAATAAAGAATCTGTTATTAAGGAAAGCCACTGTTTGTGCTTCATGTGGGCAGAATGGGACTCACTTTCCAAGACCGTAGCCATATCCTCCCCAGATCGGTATTTGGTCACAGCACACCCTAACCCCGACAGTGCCAACATTGAATTAGCTTGCATTGTGGGATTGCCTCTGTTAAGTAGAAATGGTAAAAATCAAATGGCATGCCAGTGATGAGGCCTTTGTTAAAACAATTAGTGGTAGAGTATAAACATAAACAGAGATACATTCATTCTTTTCTCAAGGACATTTGTTTGGAGTGAGCACAGTGAAGAATTGGAATTTGAAAATGTGTTGTTAACAAGAAAAAAGGTCAACAAAATGAAACCTAACACCTGTATTTTTCTTTTTTCTTTATTAATTTTAAATGACAGTATTTACACTATTTATATTGTTTGCAATATTGTCCTCATCTTTATTGTCATATTCACAACGTTTTGGCTGTTGTACGCTCCAGCCATCTTCAGGTGATATATGACAATAAAGATGACAACAACAGTCCGCACAATGTAAATAGTTTAGTTTTGTCACTTAAGAGGAAGTTCAATAAAATTTATTTTTTCATTAAAATTGCACTTGTTAATCTCACCAACCATTCAAACCTGGATATCTGTGAAGAATGAGATTTAAATATGTGATTAATGACTGTACTGTAGTGTTACTCACTCATGGGAAGTAGTATGCACTCAACTGCCTCATGGTTGATAGCTGTAGCTACTTATATACTTCATATGTAAATAAGTCAACTCATCTCCCTGTCTCAAAGAGGTTTTACTGCCTTATTTCCCCTGGGAGTTTCTGAGAGCTTTTGTTTCCTTATTATCTTCCTCCTCCTCTCTAAGAGGGGATCTAGATATGGGAGATTTTGATCTTTTTTCATAGGAGTGTTCCTCCAATGATTGTTCATCTTCAGAGTCTATATTACTCTTGATTTCACTGTCTAGTTTGTCTTGCCTTGGCATGATACTTTTGTCTTCATTACTTTCAGGCTCACTAAACATTTCTTCTTCACTATCATGTCGCAATCTAACTTGATTAGTATGCACCAATGTCCCATTTCCTTTTTTTTCAATTATCATCCTGTTCACTATTTACATTTTCGGACTATTGTCCTCATCTTTGTCGCCATATTTATTACAACATTTCGGACATTGTACTCTCCGGCTTTCTTCAGGTGGTTGGAATGTCGAACTAAACCCTTTATTTGCCTCACTGGGGTAGACTGTTCTAGTTCCATGTGCCATGTTTAATGGATATCAGTTGTCAGTTATTTCCTGTTAGTTCCCCTCTCCAAGTTCTCCACTGCCTTAACCAGGTATTGAACTCACACTCGAGACAGATATCATCCTGTTCCGTCCACTTTGCATTATGAATCATGCCGCTTGTAGATTAAATTCACTATTCTTTTTTATACGACAGGACATAGTTAATGAGGCTCTAATTTATCTACCCATGAGGGCAGATGGACTTTTCCATCTTCTAACATGTGGTATTTTCTTATAAGTTAGCAACAGTCTAGGAAGATACGTTTCAATCTTTTCTTTCCATTGTACACATATTTTCAACCTGCTTTTTATAGTCCGCTTTTTATAGTTTCTGCTAATCGATTTGATTGTGGATCCATGCCTATTAACATGGGCATGATCCATATGTACTCTGTCCCAATGTTGGGACTCTTTAGACCAGGTATGTGTTTTAATCTGTCTAAATTTTCTTCTGGCACTGCACATTTTATACCTTTTTATGTCTTTTTCTACTGGCTACCATGCTTCTAGCCTTAATCTCCATTGCGTAGACATTATTCTGCAATGAACATCATCATGTATACTTTTTATAACTTTGCTCCTTTGTGTTGCTGGCAGAACCACTAAGTCTCCATTACAAAATACACCATTTTCTACAGTTAATTTGTGTTTAACCTCTTTAAAATGCCTTTCTGCCTGTGAGCAATCGTTCCACTTATTATTTTTTATCCTGAACAATATACTGTTCAATATGGGATCTCGTTTTGTATCCTTAGCTAATTTGTCTATTGGCAAAATATCAGTTTTGACCCAGTGTAAGAAAGTATCTTCAAATGTTTCCTTCTCTCTCTTGCTTTCAGAAGAAATGTACATCAATCACAACAAAGTGTCTACATGCAGAATGGTATTGCCTTTCACATACTCAATATCAAAATCAAATGCCATTAACATTAAGGTCCATCTTAGAATTCTAGACAATGTTACCTTAGGAAGTTCCTTCCTAGGATTAAATATGAATTCTAAAGGTCTGTGGCTGGACCTTAGTAGGAATTCCTTTCCAATCAGAAACAGATTAGCCCTGTTTGTTGGTCAATGCTTCTTTCTCAATATTTGAGTCGTTCAATTCAGCTTTTGACAGTTTTCTTGAGAGATACATAATAGGATGACCATCCTGAGCTAATATTCTGTCCAAATTAAGTGTTCACTTACGTCAGTTGTTACTAATAATTCCTTTCTAGGGTTGAATATTTTCACTACTGGCTTCTTTGCCAGAACAGCTTTTAAATTTTCAAATGCCATTTATTCTTTTGTCCAAATAAATTCCACATTCTTTTTTTCTTAAAGCAGCAAAAGGTTTCATCAATTTTGGGTACCGCTCTACATATCTGTCCTAAGAAAGATTACAATTCTTTTTTGTTCTTAGGTACTTCAACTTTTAATACTTTATCAATTAACGATTGATCTGCCTTTATTAGATATGGAATATTCCAAAAATTATATTTTTTTTAGTGTTGTGCACACTTTTTTTTTCGTTAATTGTTAATCCAGCATTTTTTAACTTATTCAAAACCAGAGTGGTTTTCTATTTTAGTTCTTCATCATTAATAGCACCAACAAAAATGTCATCCTGGTAGCATACTGTATTTTTTATATCGTGACCAATAACTTGCTCTATAGCCCTTTTAAAGATTGCACTTGCAGTTTTAATTTCATACAGCATTCTTTTCCATCTTAATAAATTTGTTTGCATATTTATTGTTGTGACTTTTTTAAAGTCTTCATCAATAGCTATTTGATGGTATACTGACTTGATCAATTTTAGAGAATGTTTTCTTATCCACAAGAGAGTTCAAGGTCTATTCTACATTGTGGATAGGATATGAGTTTGCAAATATTTTGTGGTTTACACCTATGTGTAGCCACAACAAATACATAGATTCTCATCCTTCTTTCTTAAAATTACTAATGGGGCGGCCCATTTGTTCCATCCTGATGGAATTTGTTCAAGTAGATCTTGTTTCAGTAATTTTTTTAGTTTTACTACAACTATTGGTAGGAGACAGACAAGCACTTTTCATGCTTCAAAACATGAGAGGGAGACATTTTCCTTTAGTCTTAACTTTACTCCATAGTTTTTTTTTTTAACATTCCAGTTTCTTCTGCTTTGACTTGGTTTACTAATTTTGTCAAATTTATGTTCAATACACTATTTCCTATTAGACTGTGATTCTTTTCACAGTTTGTCATGATAATTGATAATACATGAAACTTATTTTTTAGTTCTACATAGGTTTCAAAATAGCCTAAAGTCTTTATGATGGATCCATTGAACCGATTCAAATAGACAAGGCTTTTATTGAATTTTGGTTTTCCTAATTTCTTCCAGAAATTTCTGGGTATCATATGTAGATGAGTCAGATCAATGACAGTTCAAATCCTCCAAACAGTATTTAAAAAAAAAAAAAAATGAATAAAGCATCTCACCTTGATACGTTCTTGATGGTATCAGTCAATGTATCACGAATCCTGAAATTTAAATATTCAAAATAAAAGTTCTATGAAGTCAGTCCTCTTAATTGCATTCTACAGATTTAAGAAAATCTATTGCATTCTACAGATTAAGAAAATTAAAGTTAATTCTTATTTCAAGTCGTGTTTTTTTACTGAATTGAGCTTCTCATCAAAATTGTCCAAGGCAAATATCATGAAAAAAAAGACACTCTTTAAAAATAGGGTTCATTGGAAGAGCATAGGAGAGAAATACTATCAGGTTTAAAATCTCCTTCCCTCATTAAGCAACTCATCTAAAAGAAGGAAAATTATAAATAATGGAAATCAAGCCCTTCAAAACATTTGTTTATAGCTGATAAAAATCATTGCCATGTTAGTGTAATGGTTAGCAAAGTGGTTTTACAGATGATTACAGCTGAGTCGTATGATCCTCATTGAGTGCTCCATATTTGTGACCTTGTGCTAAAATTAAAGTAAGAATAGTAAATAATTATAAATACTAAAAAGCTCTAAATTACTGATGCTCCAACAATTCCTTTCAACAGACATTTTTTAATAATAATGGAAGTGTCCCTGAAATGGGATAAAAACAAGGAAAGCGGGTTTGAATTAATCAATGTACAATAGTAAAAATACAAAAACTTTGTTTGAGAAATCTTACCACAACCAAGCCACCATTTTCTTCTCAGCTGCATCACTCTCAGTGATGTGACCATGTTGTAGTTGAAGGTTGATTTCTGCATGTCGACCCTAAAATGAAATGAAGATTATATCCAAATATAAGACGAGTAAGCCAATAATATAATGAAAAAGAGAGAATTTTGTAAGATAAAATACAGAAATAAAATTTGATGCAGGCACATTGTTTGAATTTGGCAATCATTGTAAAGATTCCAACACAATTTTACTAAACCATATATAATAACTGAACGTAAGTAGATATCATAAAGCTTATAAGCAGACTGACACAGTAAAAGATTGGCTACCAAACAGCATTAGTAGACTGTGCAGTTCTTTTGAATGGTAAAAATCACAATACATACAATTATGGGAACTTTCCAATACTATTTCCTATATAAAATGGTGTGTAAATGTTACCAGCAACTGATTTTTTGAAAACTAGAAACTCAAAATGCAAGAGAAAATTGTTTTTAAAATAAAATAAACTATACCCCCCCCGTCCAAAAAAAAGAAAATGATGTCAAAATCTGCATGCATCTGACACATTAAATGCAAAAAAGCAAAATAGTAAAATCTTGGAAATAAACTATGAATGGTTTGTTGATCAGAAAAAGCAAGCATTATCAGTTTCTATAAATATGATAACTTTTAAAGCAAAGACAATTGTAATTGATAATAGATCTGATCATACATCATGTTGATATTGATTCATGAAACACAAAACTTAATGACGAAAACTAAAACTGAATGAAAGAATAGGTCGACGCTTGCTCAGGTCTGCATTTGAGTGAAAAATTCATTTGAAAAAAAAAAAGATAAAATGATTAAATCATTTAAGAAATGTGGGATTGGACAAAGGATGGCACTCACTTTGATCATAATATTCAGTCTAATGACAAAATATCCAATTCCTTTCAAGGTGATAGTGAAAACAATGAGGATTTTCTAGGTTTTGATCCAAACTAAGGAACAGAAAACCATTTTTTTTTCTGATTTTATCGGATTTTTTGATTTTGATGTTCCCAGATCTTTTGTGTTTAGAACAAGATTAATTTTTAAATTATCAAATTGAATTTTTGTTCAATAAAAAGCTTTGACTTTAAGGGTGTGTCATATATTCCAAAAAATATGGTAAATAATGCATTATATTCAAATTCTTCAAAAAATTGGGTAGCACCTCATAAATACAAACATGACATTCTAAAAACAAAATTATGTACAGATGTATCTTCTAACTTTGTGATGAATTATCATTTCAAGAGTTGTTCAAGACTATCAATCTCATTGTTTTTATTGTTGCTATATAAAGACCGTATACCTAAGGAAAGCCAAAGAATAGTTTAGCCAAAAGAGAAAAAAATTACTAGTCTGAATAATACCTTGAATAAAAATCATATATTTTACAAGTTTCTCGCCAGAATCTTTTTTATGTAATTTACTTATACATTTTGATTTTCCCTTCATTTTCCCCTTGTCTTCCATCAAAGCTAATTATTTTGCTTATAAAATCATAAGTCATAAGAAAGTGGGCCATTTGGAGAATCTAACCCAAACCAAATTTAAATACAAGTTCTGCGATAGAACATCTTCATCTCACTCATGAGTTGTCTTGATTAGAAATAGATTTAAATAGCAATTTTCACATCTTACAAGGCAATCCTAAGACGAACCAACATTTCATGTTAAAACAAATAAAGCTGTATGTATGCTTGAAAATATTTGGGTCAATGATAGAGGTTATGACCTCTTGGATATTAAAAAAGAAATCCATTAGTGAAGGATGTTGGGTTAATACAAGAGGAAGTTATTTTTGCCATATATTATCACTAAGATTGTAAAGTTACTATGCTTGGTCTGTGTTTTGACAGGTTCTAAAAGATCAGAAGAATGTCTATTGTGTGACATGTCCATACACCAAGCCATCATTTCACCTGTCTATATTTATGAGATGGAGTTACCATTATTTATATTCAGAATAATGTTCTTATCTTTGTTGTTTTTATCACAACACTTCAACCATTATGCTCCCTGCCTTTCTCACATGTCTGTTGATCAGAGTAACATTTAGGGAAACGGAACCTTTTATTTAATCTGTGGAGGTAGACCATAGCTACAGAAATCTTGTCCTTGTTTGGTACAGCTCAGTTATTGCTTGATCTCTTTTCACTGAGTTGAAGCCTGAACTACTCTGGTCAGGGATTGAACTCATAATTATTATGCCACCGAATTTATGAAGCAATACTTCAGGCTATCAAGGTTGTGGGACAATCCTGAATCTACCCTGTAGATTAAATAGAGTTCATTTTGAACTGTGGTTACATGACTATGTGACAGAGTGGTGATCTCATTGATCAGATGTTTGTGTCTGTGGGGATGGAGGTGATGTGAAATTATGCAGATTTGCAGCTAGAAATGTGATTAGTGGGCTTCAGACATTTTTGTTGTCAGGACGTTTTTTTTTTCTTTGCTGAAGGACTGTTATAAGACTGCATCTTTCAACTGACAAAGTTAAGAGACTGCTTGCATTAGGATCCATACTATAATTAATTCGCCCATTCAGATTACAGTAACAGAAGGTTACCTAGATCAATAGACACCAGAAAAAGGCTGGAAATGCTGAAAGATGATAGAAACAACATAGATGAGAACATTACTTATATTAGGACTAAAGATATCTAGATAAATTACATACAAGGCAGAATTTAATCTTAACTTGCATGACAATAGCCTTGTTTCTATTATTAGGTTGGTGAAAAAATAATGTCGTTTTCTCACATATGTTACTTTTATATATGATTTCTGAATTAATTCATTGATATATATAGCCATGTTATATATCATTTTGAAGCGCGTTTTTCGCACTTTCGAATCGTGTTATTCGTTACCGTTCTCATCATTCATTTTTTTTGCAGGCTTTTCGACAGCATGGACAAAATTCAAATCCGCACAATTTTCTTGTTCCAGTTCAAACTAGGCTGAAAAGCTGCCGAGACAGCTCGTGATATCAATGATGCGTTTGGCCCAGGAACCACTAACGAATGTGTGGTACAATGGTGGTTCAAGCAATTTCGCAATGGTGACGAGAGCCTCGAAGATGAAGATGGTTGCGTCCGCCCGACTGCGGTTGATAACGAACATTTGAAAGCCTTAATTGAAGCCGATCCTCACACAACCACACGAGAAGTTGCTGTTGAACTCGAGGTCGACCACTCAACAGTCGTTCGCCATTTAAAGCAAATAGGGAAGTCAAAATGTTGGATAAATGGGTGCCGCATGAATTAAACAATAATCAAAAAAATCGTCGTTTTGAGGTGTCTTCTACGCTCCTTCTGTGCAACAAAAACGACCCATTTCTCGAGTGGATTGTGACGTGTGATGAGAAGTGGATCCTCTACGGCAACCGACGACGTTCGGCACAGTGGTTGGATGCCGGAGAAGCTCCGCAACACTTCCCGAAGCCGAAATTGCACCAAAAAAAAGGTTATGGTGACTGTTTGGTGGTCTGTGACCGGTCTCATCCATCACAGCTTCTTGAATCCGGGCAAAACGATTACGGCGGAGAAGTACTGCCGACAAATTGATGAAATGCACCAGAAGCTCCAACGTATGTGCCCGAGATTGGTCAATATGAAGGGACCAATTCTCCTCCATGACAACGCTCGCCCGCATATTGCTCAACTGACCCTGAAGAAGCTGAACGAATTGGGCTACGAGACACTGCCTCATCCGCCATATTCACCGGACCTCTCGCCCACCGATTATCACTTTTTCAAGCATCTCGACAACTTCCTGCACGAAAAATGCTTCAAAAGCCGCGATGATGCTGAATCGGCCTTGAATGACTTCATTGCTTCCAGAACTCTGGATTTCTATGCTAATGGGATAAATAAACTTGTTTCTCGTTGGCAAAAATGTGTCGATTCTAATGGTTCTTATTTCAATTAATAAAGTTTATTATGAAAGGAGTTATGATCTTTTGAAGTTGAACGTCAAAAAAACGACATTATTTTTGCACCAACCTAATAGCTAATTCCAAAAAGTAGAGTTTATCAGGCACTAATGCCTTAGGGAAATGGAAAGTTAACCCTGATGTTTTTCTGTCAGTCAGAGTTGTGACTGGACAATTTTTCAATATTGGTCTTTTGTGAACAATTGAACGGCACTAGACTTTTGTGCCCTTTTATTCATTGTTTTATTTGTAAAATGTTTATCTTGTTGAAACAACTTTGCCACAGGTGAATTCTAGCTGAGGTTTCTTCTGTGCAATTTGCTGCACAGTAATAAGGCATAAATCCACTATTCCCTGAATTCAACAGATATCTTAAAAAAATATATCTAATCCCTGCCATGTAACAAGAGAGTGATTGAATAAAAATTTGAACAAATAACATATAACACTGTCACGGCACTAGCAACAAAATGCTATTACTCAGCTAGTAATTAGTAATTTATAATGCCACCCCCACGCTTTAGAATACAGGCAATCCTTACTCTATAATTTCTGTTTCTTTATGATTTGTGACTTGTGATGATTTCTTGGAAAGCAGTTTCCTATATTACTTTCTTTACAGTTTTCCTTCTTTTAGACAGCTTTTTTTTTTTTTATTCAAGGCAAGATAGTCCAGTCTACACTGCTATTTAACCAATAACTCGGGGAGGGGAGAAGAGACAGATTCTTAAACTATCCCAAGGACATTTATGCAAAAGTGAATGCAATAGATTAACCCAGAATTTGAACTATGTTTGTCGATTTCATTTCCCCTGTCAATATCCGTTATACTACCCAGATATCTGTTAAGTCTGAACAGGGGAGTAATTAAAAACCAAAAAAACCAAAAAGCACATCTATATTTTCAGGAACTTGCTTACTTAATTTTAAACAAAGCAAATCCGTACATTAGCCGACAAACTGCCGTAATCTCACAATATGGCAGGAAAGTAATTAGTTACTAATTAATTAATGAAAAATCACAAGTAACAATACAATATTTGATCACAGGAATGGTGATCTAAATATAATTTTATGATTCAGAATAAACACTTTAGTAGAAGAGAGACATGAGGTGACA